TTCAACCGCCCATCTCTGGCTATGGCTGAATTCGATACTATGGATGTTGCAACGCAACACGATGAGAGCCTGTACTTTCGCTAATATAGGATAATTTGCTGGGACAGCATGTAAAATGGTGTACCCAGCACTGTTATGGCATTTTGCACTACCCAGTTCAGAGTAGGAGTTGAGCTAACGAGTGGTGGCGGTGGTGGTCAGGTGATCTACGTCGCTATGTCTTGTGTGCTTTGGGCTCTAAGGCCCAAGGTTCTTAGCTTGCCACCGCCACTCAGCTCTGGTGTTAAACGGTTTTTGTTCTCCTCTAGCTCAGTACCGTACCAGTTTTATTTGGGGATTCTGGTATTACGCTGCTCCAGGTCCCATGACAAGGACTATAGAGTCATCGCTTCGACTGTTCACCACCCCGAAAAGATTGATTGTCGTCCGGCTTTTTCGTCAGACATTTCTCCCCTAGGGTTTGCGCATTCAATTTCAGCTCACAACCCAACAGGACCATTTCAGACCAATTGATGACTTAACGTGTGGTTCATTTACCTCTTTTGAAATACTATATCAGGTAGGTGGACCACATCCGAATCGCTGACCTTGATCACTGGCGAACCGCGATCGTTCTGTCACTTTGCAGTATGCATACCCATGGTGTGTTTTACAATGGAGAACGCTAGTCTAGCATAAACCTTCCTCGTCCTCGAATACTGTAGTTATTATCTTATCTAATGGACTACCTTATTAGCGACCGAGCCCCTTTCCATGACCTAGGGACTCATCCGGCAGCATAGGTCTTTGTTCGCTGGAACGCTTCGAGACTGTTTTTTCCCTTCCCGAAACAAATCCATTTCCGATTCACACTGCATACTGATGTTCATTTCATACACCCCACAAACTTGACAGTAATTATCGAGGTTTTCTACACCGATGGTGTCGATGGTAGAGATTGTAATACCATGTTTTTGTAACCCTAAGCCATTGAATCGAAAATGAGGTATGCCATAAAATGGTTTCCTCGTTCTAGTTTGGGTGAGAAATTCAGACCAGAATGACTGACATTCGCTCCTGCGTATTTGCATTTCGTAAAATACTAGCCAAATCGTTTAAGATCGTGGGAAGGTGATTGCTTTGGTCACTCTGTTGTTATAGGCGAACTCCGGACGTCGTGGACACAAATCTTTTCGCGAAACCCCAAACGAATCCGACGAGAGTACAGGGTGTTTAGCGTGCAAACCCAGAACAGCCGGCGGAAACCAAGTTTCACTAAGCCCTTAGTTCGTTGCGCACGGAACAATAGTAACGCACACTAAACGAATTTATCGATTCCAATTAGGATCGAATTCTGGACCCCCAGGAAAATTGTATGCGTTCTTATTCCTTCACATGCGAGCAGTAAGTTAGATTACTAACTACGCACAATACTGCATAAGTCATATCTGTGGACTAGATGTTAGTTACTGTCTCGCTCAGCTTAGTTCAGTTTTAGTTTTCAGGGTATACAACCATTAATCTTGTACTTTTGCATGGTGGTTCTGGTTGCCTCCGTTTTGCTATGCATTTGGATGAAGGATTAGAGTGAAATTAGAATACTGAAAACAGTATGCATGCAAAGATAGAGCATTCATATTCCTGATGAGACCCAATCAAGTCGAAACAGCAGTCCAGTTCTTCCCAGCTTTTCAGCTCACGCCTCATTTACACGACCAATTCATGGTATAGAGAATTCAGTTTAGGTCCAGTTCAATTTTTTACAAAGAAATTAAGTAGATGCACCAGCATTACCGTTTGTGATACCTGGCTATGCGAATCAAGATCTCTAGCCGTAGATTACACTGATCACGAGGTCCCCAATTGGGAAGCCTAACGTGACCCGTATGGTCAAATACCATGGTCACAGGTTTTATACATTCATGACCTGTCTTATTTCGGTCATCTTTGGCTTTCTTCCAATCTCTGTCTACCTCTACAAATATCACTCGTTGAGCAAGCCGAAGTTAAATTTTTATTGTGGGAATTGCTCACAAGCTCATGCTTCACTTGTTCCCATAGGATATTTGCACAGTTGAATCGTTTTTCGGAAAAAAATGATGAAATGCCACGGAGTTCCGGGTAGGAGATAACAAATAATGTAATCTTCAACCAAGTTACGTTTTTCTTTAGTTGTGTGGAAATGTGAGATTTGCCAGGGTTTCATTGAGTCTCCGCTTGAAAGATTCAATAGTTGGTGCACAAACAACGTGAGATGGAGCGGTGTTCCGACTGCTATGCACTCTGACTGTAAAAGATGGACGCCGGTATTCCAGTTGACAATTTGGGATCAGTAACTTGAAACGATGTATCCTAAGGTGTGTGTTGGGCGACAGCATGAGCATGGCCGATATGAATGGCTTGGGTTCTGCAGTATTAGATAGGCCAAAATCAATTCTCCTCGAATTCGTCAGTACTTAGCAGAATACAGTCCCAATGATCGTAATCTCTCCTCATAGTTGAGGCAGTTCAATCTTGGTGACAGCTCTTTGTGGACGATCCGGCATCTTGCGATCACCTTGTGACCATAGACTTCGAGCGTGGATGGTGTATTCTGAGAACGGTCAAATGTACACTGATAGCAAACGTGGAAACAACACTGATTCCATTCGACGAAAGACTGACCTAAGTAAGCCGACATCCTTCACAGCAGCGGATGAAACCCTGAGGCGATTGATAGCGCTTGAGGTATGTGGCAGCTGCTGATTTCCGAGGAAATAGGAGAATCTACTCTTGTGGCGTAGTAGTAGTAATAGGACTTTGCATCTAGAAACATTGAATTGATAGCGAGCCCTCGGGTTCTGCTACCGTATTCCAGAATTTGGCGTCGTCTGCAAACAGTGTAGCATTCGTAACATACGCCCCGGTCACCGTAATGTCGGAAGGGTGAGGTTCATTTCAACAGTAGCTTTTAGGGGTTATGGCTTTGTTGGACGCATTTTTAATCATCCTCGTTTCCTATGGGTTGATGATAATGCGTTATTTTTTTTTTTTGACAAATAAAAACTGGAGCTGTACGATTTTCTTGCCTCGTCTCAGGTCAATGTCATCAACACGTCTTGTGGTTTCAAAGTGCAAACATTAACCACAGTTGCTGCAAGTCATCGGGTATGGACAATAGGCTGTGTTCAGGCTCTTGTATCATCGATTGAGAGCAATATCGTCCCGGTGGCTTGTGGCATTAGTGGAGCTGCAGTATTACAGGTAAGATTCACTCAGTCATTTGCAGAATAGTTTTCAATGAAATTAAAATTCCGATTCGGTCAATCATCCCGGTATTTTTTCTTCTCTTCATTTGTTCCCTTCCTCCTCGAAGTTGGTTGCAATTTTGTTGGCTAAAACGTTACACACGCAAATTGGGGATCAATTGCGTCTGCTGGAACAGGAGCGTGCGGTTGCTTGAGTGTTATTCACTGCCCCCCCATTCAATTCATTTTTCATCATTGTAATCATGCGAATGAGACACGATCGGAATCTGTTACATTTGACATCTATTTGCTAACTTACGGCTTGTTTTTTCTCTCCCTCTCGCTATTTAACAGAATATCTGTACTACAGTTTTCTTTTGGGCCTTTGTCTTTCCGTTCTCTATCGGTTCGGGACTCGCTCGTCCCGTTCCTCGTTCTAACTGTACAGAAATAAACGTTCTACTGAGCGTATTGTTCTGGCTTTTAATTACTATGGACAATGCAACGAGTTCGATGGTGCTTGATCAAGGAGCTGTTTGTTAACTCTCACCGGGAACGTCGTCCGTTTGATTTTGGAGCGTGTTTATTTGTCCCCTCTTTCCCCGTGTCAACCGGTGTTCACTTTGTTGTTTTTCCTACACTGTTTATTCACTTTGCACATATTCTTTCTGGATGAGAAATTCACAATCGCACTCGAAAAGCATCTGTTTCTTCCTACTGTGATCGAAGCATCGTCTCCTGGTGAATCCTTCGACCTGGTGTGCGTCTTCGGGAAAAGTACACAATGGAAGTCCTATTTTACTACATTCTTGTGGTCAATTTTTCCGCTAAAAAGATTAGGTAACATCCGGTTTAATGGGCCACGGGCAGCTGTCTAGGTGCTGAAAAGCCAGGTTTCGAAATTTCTTAGGCAGAGGCTTACTAGCTAACTCTAGAATATTCATGTTTGTAATGGTCCCCAGGGTTTATGAGGTATTCTGAATTTGCTACTCTCGTTTCAAAGGCGAATGATCCTTCTGACTAGACGTCGCCAAGATCCCTTGAGATGCACGATTTAGTCGCCTGACTACTTTGTTTATAGATTCCTAGGAAATATTGATTTAGGAAACCCGGTAATGTCAAAATTGGTCGTATCGGCATCAGTTTAACAGTCGGTTGGTACATGTGTCACGCATGTCTCCATGTAGATTTCGACGGCGCACGATATTTGCTGATGTAGATGATAGGTGGAAAAAATTGAAGGGTGATCAAACTAAGGCCTGATCTGAAGGTATGAAAACATTGACTAGGAGACATGCTCACACCGGTCGAGTTAAGCTTCCTGGATCAATGTAACCGATGATCAGAGGCACTGATTTATGTCTGTCCTAGTGGTGCTCATGCATCTCCTGATTGTCAACTTCCAATATTTTAATCTTCCTCATTCTGTTTCATTGAAAATGGATATCTAAAAGACAGCAACTAAAACTGCCACACGAAGGTGCATGGTTAATGGTTATCTAAACTGGAACTTTCCAGAATAAACAAAAACAGTGTTGTATGAGATTTGTGAGTTGGATTGGTATATGTTCTTGGCCGATTCGTTTTCCCAAAATCTAAACTCCGGGACTAGATATTTCTGTTACACTGTGATGCTCGATTTAAGACACTGATGTAAGGATCACCTTTCAGATGAAAGGTGCCACTATTGTGCCAGGTCAACCTTGATGAGTTTGATACTTGTCATTAGAGACTTCCGGCATTTTTTTCTGTCTACATAATTTGTCTTTCTCAAATTTCAGCAACATTGGAAAAATGCCTCTGTTCGCCCGAAGATTTTCCGTCCCGAAGTTCCCAGCTCGCAAAGCTGCGAGTATGACCAATCTATCACAACTGGATGCTACAACTCGGAGTCAAGAATTTAGTTTAGATCTCGGCCCAGTACGCACACGATTGAGCGGGCGTGATCTGGTTTTTCGTGATGGGAATTGGGTGATCGGTGAGTTGCACTGATGGTTTAATAGTCTTCCACGGGGCGACATTTTTTCCGTCATTGTAAGAATTACTCATCATCATCGTCATTGTTGTGATCGTGATCCAAAGTAGATTCGCTACATTTCTATATCAGTTTTATTCCCTTCATCGAGAGTAGCCGGTAACGTTAACTCACTGCCGCATGGTGGCGATCAGGGGATGTATGTCATCATGATATCGACTTGGGTTTATGTCCCTTCGTGTTTCATTACCGTTACTCGATTCCACTACTTCCGCCTATCTCCACTCAATCTTAGTCCGCAGCCCCCAAAGTCCCAAACATAGGATGTCGAGTAATGTTTCGCGCGTTGTTTTCCAACGGGAAAAACGTTCAGACGACACGCGAGAATAATCACATCGATGTATGTGTATATGGTATGTCAACGGGGATTTTGGTGTTTCCGTTATTGGTGTGCAACAATGCAGTTGAATATATGTTAGATAAAATGACCACAGCACAAGTGAAGTTACGGGTTCTCATAATTTTTGTGTGGTTAATAGACCAGTCGCTCTGAGCGTCCGCAAACACAAGCTCTCCAACAGCGGAGAGTGATGGAGGGGTTGTACTGAGTCACATATGACGTCAGCATCATTTGGGTTATCCAAAAACTTGATACACGATTTGATTGAAGTGTCTTCGATACACAACAGATGTATGTATGATTCATATCCAATATTATTCTTGTGAAATTTGAACTCTGTTCCTTACTGGTCGTCAGTCAGTGGGGGAAAGACCAAGATTGCACGACCAGCAGTTGTTGGTTGTTAACTGAGGTCGTGGGTTTCGGTTCAAGTTGCCCCAGGGAAGTGCAAGGTTAATAACGGTCTAGACTGAACTGAACAGGAATCGTTGGACAAAGTGCAGCTCATTTCATACTGGAAACTGATGGGTATACAAATCTTCGGTTCTAAAGAGCCCTAAACTGTAATAAAATAACCTGCGGATTAGTACACCTCTGCTTTATAGCCTCGTGACTAATGTTTGACGTTTTTTTTATCTAAGCGAACTTAAAAATTTGCTTCCTGTACACAGTATTCTCTGTACAAAGGCCGTTGTATTTTTTTTAACGAACACTGGGTTAGTGCAGCAAGTTGAAAATGAGCTAAGGTATCCGGATAGACAGTTGTATCTATCAGTTGAACTATGCACATCAGCTGGACTATGTTTTGCTTTCGTCATGTAACCTCTTGAACACTTTCCTGGTTTGCAGGCAGAGCTATTCACTCAAGGTAGGATTAATAATCCAGCTTTACTAACTGCAGCTTTTGTGCGCTTTATAAATGATAACACCATTGCGCTGTTGTTACTTTACTGCTCGGACTTACCTCCCAATATTTTACATTTGCAATCATTTCTTGTCCTGCCCAAATATCCGTGGATTTGTTTACCATTCACTACCCTAGTTCACAGTCTGACTAGGTTCGGCCGTTTCTCTGCCTAACTCCCGGCGTATCGACAGGATATAAGTGTCAGTCAGGGCTGTGGCATGAAATACACCAAATACTGTCTCGCAATGGGTTATAAACAAGTTGAAAAATACAGACCAAACTACATTGGTAGCCATAACGGGTGCAACAACAGTTTTAGTGACCGTACGCAGGGTTTCTGATCACACTAGCACATTGGACATAAGACCATTTGGGATCCCTGTTGGGAGTCCAGTAAACTATTCATCGTCAGCTCTGCGCACGGATTTGAAGCAATTACATGGGCTCCTTCTCTCCAGAGGACGATTAGAAAGATAAGCGAGTTATCTTCATTGTTGGACGCTGGTCATACGTCGCGTCACGCTGCCAATGATTGTGAATCATAGCGCGTTGTGCTAGTCTGTACCACCGTTCGTGTACGACGGACAGGGATTGCGCGTAGTTTTGGTTTTCTGTTCATATCAGATTTACTCTTCCGTAGGTCCATTTCACTATTACCTCCGAAGGGTTGCGCGTGTTTATTGTTTTCGATGGTAAAGTGGGAGCAAAGAAACATCATGATAAGGTGTCTTTATTACCCTCCACTGGTAACTGCAAGAAACCTGTAGAATAATGCAAAGAAAACAGGTTTTCGCGTTGGGATGAGTCATGTGAATTGTGTTAGACTGTGTCAGATTGCCTGATCGGAGTTCACACGTTCAAATCCAATTTTTATTTCGAACCGTTTAATGACAGCGAAGCGGATGAAAGATGTTGTCGTTTGCAATCTTTTCATGCATCTATTTCGCGCAGATCACTTCGCTTTTATCCGTTCTTCGTCTTCATCCTGTTTCGTTTTGTGCTCCTACTTTCCGTGTCAACATAATTAAATAAATCACCAGGCGAGGCATTGGAGTTGTCAAATTTCAAGTTGTACATGTAGCTGTATTTTTTATGAAATCTGTTACGGTTTCGGTTAGTACAGCAGTTAAAGCTGTCCACTTTTTGCATAAACGTTGCAGTTGACTTCTTCATGAGTGTCTTAACGCCTCCACTTTCGCGANTTTCGCGAAGCAACGTCATTCAGTCTCGTCTGAACAGATGAGTGATGATTTATCAAAAGAGTTGGTGGGGGGGGGGGCTGGGGAGCTTGGATGCATTGTGACTTTTTTCTTTCTTTGTTACTTACTGATGGGACTGACACTTCGTAAATACCGTGCTTACTCTGCAGATGATGATCAACTGTATCTGGACTTGTTTTCAACTACTAATGTACCGTACAGAGTGTTGTCACAGCATCCCTCAGATAGTTCAACTAAATACACAGCAAAAATCGCATTCTTTATGAGGCGATTAGATGCTCTGAATTCGATCCTAACTGCATATAAAGAGCAGATGCCACACACTTTAATGACTAGCAATGAAGTGTGGTGTGCGAACCGAGCTCAGACTCCTTTCATCTGGTAACACAATTGTAGTTAAAAATTAAGCGGTCAGAAGTTGTCAAATTTCAACCTATCAGGCAAGGTCACGGGGTCAGTCATCGCGCACGCACAAACAATCACAAATGCGTTCCCGAATCCCAGTGGAGCGTTTGATGTTGAACTGTATCTGAATCTTCCAACTCGGTGACATCAAGCTTGCGAAATGTGGGATGTGTCAAATGATGTGATAGATTTGCGGTTGGGAATCTGACACACTGTGCGTGTTTGTATGTGGAACCCAATCGGTGCAGCCGTTACTCATTTGGACTTACGCATTGCTTTTTTGGTTCTTTCCGCATCCATTCGAGTGTATTCCCAGTCTTCTTTACACGTTGTTCCCGTCACTTAGCTTTGACCGATCGCGTGTATCAGTTACATAATTTGTATGACAAATAACCGTGGCAAGGATAGACATCCAGCCAGGGCAGTGATAGTGATTTAGACGAATTCAATAGATTACAAGTCTATTGTGCTGCACTTGTACCGGTTCTTCTTATCGATTGTGTACAGCAGAATTAATGCGTATAAAACATCCGATAAGTAGAGGTTTTTAACTATTATTCTTTTTGTACTTTGGCTCAGATCGGATCAATTTTGTCGATGAGCAGTACCTGGGGCAATGCAACACGTTCCGAGAACAATTTGATAAATAACAATTAACAAATTAATCGGGTCTCGATGTTGAGGACACACGGTGTAGCGCTAACCCACCTGCATATGATTGGGTGATACCGGGTGGAAGTCAGTAACCAGAATGAAATGTATGCAAATATACTAAAGAATGGTTGCCTCGTCTTCTTACTGAAGAACCTGTGTTTGATCGACAAAAAGTCGCGAAAAGACGGTAATCGTTGTATTGCAACAAGTACCCGAGTTACGCCACACATCGTCGACCGTCGATCGTGGTATTCTGCAATTGGAAGGGGCGTTTGACTCATTTGATCATGAGGTTCCATTTACTTCACTTTTCTAGCAAATAATGACCCAGAGACATGTTAGCCTATTCAGGTCACTGTACTCGCATACCGAAAGATAACCGAATCCGTCGCTCGGCAATGAAAGCTGCATCATTATGCAAATTGAAACTAAAGCTCGTATTCTTCCGACAGAGTAACGGCCTGTGATGGATGGATTAGCTCCTTCTTCAGTAGTGGTGGTCGCCAACGGTACCCTTGTTCACTATTCAAATTCGCCGTAGACGAAATAGTGGAGTGCATCTTACATGGTCACCAGCTTGTGGTAGTGAATGGACGACTAGAGAGAACCCGTGTGATCTAACTACGACAGCCTGTCTATTGGAGTGTGTAAAAGAACGTGTAAAGCACACTCCACAGACCAACAATCTCTGTTGTTGCTTTCTGTATGCCCTTTGCACCTTCAAAGTGCGAAGTTGTACTGAAAGACTGGGTGGGAGCCAGCTATCTTTACTTTGAAACCGGATGGTCTGGGATTGACCGAATTTGATTGCTCCTCTTACATAGGTAGTTCTGTGTCGAATAACAATACCACAGTCGAGGAGACGAACGCACGCATATCCAAGGCTCGAGCAACCTATACAGGACTGACTTTTGGCGCCAACGTCGCGTTTCACTGAAGTTGAAAAGTTACATATAGCGGGTTTCAGCGCGATCAATCCCGTTTTGCGGTTGTGAGACATTGAATTATCGAACAGAAGACTTCCATCAATTAGAGGTTTACGATAATTCGTGTTTGCTTAGTTCAGTGCAAGTAAAATGGAGCTACATTGAGGTTATCCGTCTTGTGTTAGAGATTCTTCTGGTGAAACTCTATCATATCGTCTTATTCAAATGGGTGAACTGTGCTGCTTAGGACACTTATTGCGTATGCTAAGCAGTCGTCTACCGCGCATCCCCTTGTTTGCATTGCCGCTCTAGGTTGGAGAAAATCATACACAGGCCAACAGATGACCTGGGGGCAAACAATGAGGACCTTCTCAAAAGGATTAGGTAAAGGAAGTAGTAGATCCGTGTAGGAATGTTTGGATTGTGACTACGAGAGAAGATCAGGTTGGCGTCTGAGTACGATGCACTGAACCGGCAGTAGTAGGTCCAAATACTCGAAAAGATGTGTGTGCCTAGAGATTCAAATTCTTTTTCCTTTCCTCAGAACAGACTCACTCACTCTTCGACCCTACGCATTCCAGCTTAGCGCAAATTCTGAAGTTTGCAGCAATCGGTAAATTTCGAACCCAGCGATGTGATGTTTGTCAAAGGTGTCCTATTTCACAAATTCTGTTCACTTTCATCTTTGCCGAAATTTCGGTGAAAGCCCCGAAAATATCGAAGTGGTGCGCCAAGACTGGGTATTAGGTAAACAAATGTGCCTTGAAGCTTGATGGTCAGGAATTGAATATAGTAATTTGTTTCTGCAAGCAGTTGAGTGATAAACGACGGTAGTAGAGCTGAAGAGGTGGTTACACGCATACCCAAGGGTCGGGCGGTGGCATACGCCGGACTAGAATACCTTCGGTGTTGATGTGCCATTTCCTTGAAATTGAAAAATCACGTCAACTTTGCTGCACTGCTATTAGTTCTGCCTCATGGTTGCAAGAGGGCGGCGTCGGTGTTGCCCCGAAGGTGATGTGTTCGCATACCACCATCATCGCCTAACTTTTCTGTTTTCCAAGGCACATCTGATTGGCGGCTCTTCCCTTGTGTCAGTTATATGAATTATGTATCCGATAAACGGATGTAAAAGAACAAAAGAAACAGTAGAGATCCTGAGTTGGCCTGGGCGAGAAATCCATGCGCTGGAGGTTTTCGACCATCGATCAAAATAATGACAAATGGTGTGAAGCAAATGGAATTTGCAACCAACAAATCATCTTCCGTCTATTCACTCCGTATCCGCTGATCTCCGTATTCTGTTGCTACATTTCGAGGGGCTGATTCACACTGTGAATTACGTTCAGTTTTCCCAAGTTGTAGAGGCGGTGGTCAAGTGGTTAAGATCGCTATCACATTGACCCAGAAGTCTGAATTTTGAAGTTTTTCTCCTGTGTCTTCAGGTGGCGCCTAATTGGTTGTATCCCCCCTCTGCTTCCTGAAAATTGTTTGTAGAATTGTGTATTCAATAGAAGAAGTCAAGATTGTTAGCATAATAATAATAATAATAATAATAATAATAATAATAATAATAATAATAATGAACATGTCTCTCTGTTTCATGGACCGCATAATTTATTCCTTATCAGATCAGGATTTTCGGATGTTTTTTATTTTTTATTACACACTTTCGTGTGATTAACAGCAGACGGGGAAGACCCCATAGTCACCAGGATCTGCTGTTCAGTGATGGAAACCGGTAACCTAAGCCCCGGGACCTGGAGTGGTGAATCACATAAGGCCCCGATAGGTTAGGCGTGGTATTAAACCGGACGACATCAAAGCTGGGTGGCGATGGCGGGGCTCAAACCTCGGACCATGGGGTCCAAAGCATGTTTGAGACAGCGCTTAAATCACTGCGCCACCACCACTCCAACGATCAACGGTTAAAGTCGTTAACGTTCTTCCCTATTGATGTAGCAATACTCCACTAGTCAATTTTGTTGCTTTCCCACTTAAGTTCACCACAATGAGTTCTGTTTATCAGGGTTGGCTTGGGCTCTCTCTGTCCTTCAAATGTGTAGTGGATACGATTCCGAAAATGGCTCTATATTGGCGCTAGGACAGTGCCAGGAGTGCGCATGCGGTTGTTCTACACGATACAGAGACAACNCCGCATTGCACGAGTCTCGTTTAGCAGTGGGGCAAATGATCTTGTGAGTGTTTAATAACCCCGGTCACGTACTGGAACTAGTGTTTTACCACCATAGACTGCGGTGGCTGAGGCATATACTTTGCATATGATGGGATAAGCTTCCTTGACATTCATTGTTTGCTAATGCAAGTAATGGGGAATGGTAGCCTGACTGAGACCGATAGTTAGTGCATGAAACCTGTGACCTGGGAACTGGTCGGAATCCGGGTAGCATTAAGCTTCTCGTTTGGGAACCGTGATCACTGTAATTGGTGATTAAAGACACCGAGTGATACGACTGTGTCGTAAACAGTGGTGTTTGTGCATTCACTCAATTTCCTCCCGAATTTCTGTATCTCTGTTGTGATACACTCCCAGCTTGTTATTTCCTCCATCTACTCCTTCAAAAAAAAACTGATAACTAAAAGAAAGTGACGAAAATCGCAGTGCGATTGGACAAAATTGGTAGTTGTATGACATGAAACAAAATAAATGCTTTGGCAGCCATGGGTCGCGTTGTAAATAGCTATTTATGGTCTGTTCGGAACACCGTTTCACCTTTTTTTATCGTCCTTATTTTACACGGCTTCACTTTCTGAATCACTTTTCATAATTTTTACTCGTAATCTCACTTTTCTAGTGTTTAACTGAGTGGGTGAATTTTTGTTACTGATCACATTTTAACGCTTCGCATATTGCCTCCGATAATTTTTGTGTTCTTCAGTTCTATCTACTCATTGATTGATTTTCTGCTTTTCTCCCTCTCTCTATTTTATACACAGAGGGTGATAGCACAATGACGAAGTGTGCCGGTGCAGATCGTGAATCGTTCCGAATGAAGAAAGAGAATCATCAACTCACGGAAGAAAATAATTTACTAAAATTGAAGATTGACATTCTATTGGATATGGTAGGTCCAGTACTCTACTCACCTTTGTAACTTGTTCCCCCCCCCAGTGTGCTTTCAANGGTCATTTCCTCCCGGGGGTCTCTCGAACGACACTGCCCGCTACAGTAACTGGTCAAATTCTTCTCAATAAACGATTCCAAATTAGGAGAACGAAATTTTGCCGCCAGTATTTTAGTTGCTTTCAGAATAAAGCGTTATTAGGCGCTAATTGAGTTCGTCCAACTTCTACCTTGTGTATTGCCCCTGTTTATTCTGCATGGAGAGCGTTCTAATTCAAGCGTAAGACGGACCAATGTTTCATATTTTTCACAACATACCCCAATATAATGAATAGTGAAAAGGTTAAAACTCATAGTTTGGGTTACGGGGACCTGGCCATCATGCTAAAGCGAAATACGGTGAAGTGCACTCCACTGATAGCAACCAAGCTCACGATGCATGCATGCATGCATTGGAGTTTGATGAACAGGTGCTACCGGTGTGTCTATAGCCACAAAAATTCGGGTTCTGACGAGAGTCTGACCGCAAGACAATGAGAAAAGTGAAAAAGAGGCACATTTGAATTGTTTATTCCTCCACCATTCTACCTACTGAGACACCAACTCGAATTGAGCCCTATAACCTGAAGGATCAGGAGACTGAACTTTGTCCGACCTCTACTCGCCAGCGTACCAGATATGTTAAGATATTCTGGCTTGATGAAAGTCGTCACTCGTTGGGTCACAGAGGTGCACAAGTCATCACAACTCGTCGAGGACCTTACCAAGAGAGTCTTTGATGAGCGAACTACGTAATGCCGCAATAAAATGAGCGTGCTATTGAATTGGACGACAATATAGCTGCCGTATACCATAGTTTGATATCTGTTGTGGGTTTGAACCTCGAAATTGAGAGCATGGATACCGCTGATGGAAGCCTCTTAAACTTTCAATCATCTTTTGCTTTTATTCTTTCACCTCTTTTCATATGGAACGTATAGTGACTCATTTTTAGCAGATGTCTGACTCCTTTTAAGATACTCATATCAGTCATTTACCGTTAATCGTACAGTGATGATAAATAACATCAAAGACTACGGGGATATTTAGGGGTTTTGTTACCATTTGGGCTTTCTTCCTGACACAGAGTGGTTCATTGGGACATATCGGAAAACAAGTCTCTCGGTCATAGTAGATTTGGCTAATGACAACTATGGGCGTTCTCAGACAATCCCATTAGCATTTCTTTGCTCCCCGGACAGTTTCAGTCTGTACAACCATTAACCATGGTTTTTCGTACGTCGATTTTGGTCGCTATCTTCTGGCTGCTCAGTTTATCTGTAGCAGTCAGAGAAAAAATAGGGAAATTAAAAGTAGAGTCGAAGAGAAAATGCAGAATTTCAGTGGATTAATGTTGCAATGAAATTGAGAAGATCCTCGAGCAACACTGTTTACGTCACCATATCACTCAAGTTCTCTAACCATGGATTATAATTATCCCGAGGTCCCCAACCAGGGAGCCCAACAGTACCTATGTGAAGGTTTTCATACCCTCGTGCTAGGTCTGAGTTTGACCACCCTTGGTTTTTTCCACTCAATACTGCCTTGACAAACATCACTCACCATGATGACATACGTAACACATGCACCAACCAAGGTAATCTATGGAGGTCTACCACCTGTTCCCGCGAGTGACGGCTGTTACCTACAACCCTGCGTCTAACCTCAGCATTGCTCGTCCGTTTTCCTGCTTCGTGAACAACTTTTCAGTTACTGGTTTGTCCAAGAGAGGATAGTAACAGAGGGCACAAATGATATAGCCATACTAACTGCATTCCTCTTCAGTAAATAAAAGTGAATAGGTGAAACATTAAATGTGTTATTATTAGAATGTATGGGTAGTACAACAGCGAGGTAACTAATCACAAAATTTATCTTATATGATTTGTTCATTTTCCAGTTGGCAGAGACCACGGCTGAAGTTCATCTACAAGAAAATGAAATCGAGAATTTGCGTAATATGCTGAACAGGAAATCTATGCCAAATGTTGTCCAAGTGTCGTAACCGGTTGTTCGCCTGCTGAAAAGGTTGGACATATTCGCAGTCACCACATCATCGGCAACGTCGTCATATCAACATATCTTTTGCTGTGATATTTTTCTTGTTTCTCTCGGTTCAAGTACCACGGAAACCAACTGGTGCACATTTTCTACGCACGGCACACCTAACCGCACACTTCATTGCACAGTTTTATCGCATCACATTTCCCGGGGATCAATATTTGATCTGATCTACTGGTGTTTGCACCAGTTCGCATTTCTGCTTTTGTATGCTTCTGAAAAATATATGATCTGTGTAACGTACTAATTGATTTTCTCGTACAACAATGATAAGTGCTACACCATAAACTGATACACTCTCCGGGAATGGTTTATCTCTTGCATCGAGACCGGCAGTGTCTCATTGCAAATCAACTTCGCATTATTGTTGATGGTTCTACTGGTTACCAAGATAGTCCTTATCTGATCCGTTGTTTTCGCTGACTTTTCGCACGGTTGTGACCATCTTTGGACCGTTTTTCTAGGCCTACTCGAGCAGTGAATGATTAGTCTAATTGAGTGTTCTAAAATCTGGTCGTGTCCGCTTTTTTGCGTACGGTTTTATTCCTCCGCGCAGATTAGGTGTACGCAGTGCATCGATGCTGGTACTATAACGGATGCAAGTATGTACCCGTATCAGCTGTTCCGTGATGAACAGCTTCGGTCCACTTCGTTTCCGAGGCTGACAATCGGAAGGGTTCTAAACCTGCACGTGTGTCATAAAGGTACCCAATGTGTATCGAACAGTTTGGCCCAACGTTGTGGTCAGTGTGAGTAGTACCACTGCAAATGGGTGACTATCGTATAGAAACGCACTACCATGTTCAAGTTAAAAACAAGAGAAAAAAGCAATTACTCATTTCAGTGTGATGTATTTGTGCTCATGCGCATTAATTCGTTACAGTGGCATGCTGATTGGGGTATATTATATTTCAGACACTTCTGAAGACAGATCGTGTGCTAAACAAATCACGGTGCAATAATCTTTATTAAAAAGAAAAGCGTTCCATAATTTGCATATGGGCAGAATACTGCCAGGTTGCTCAGGTCAAGGCGGGTGAATTTTCTTGAGGAATCCACAACCGAAGTCTTCGGCTAGCCAAAGCCTGACCTGCAAGGCAGCGGGGCGGTGTGTGAAAACCGCAATCCATTGGGAGCCGATTTCCAGTTCATTAGATCATACGCCCTTTGACAGGGTCAAACGTCTAGGATACCCAATAGACCTCAGTACCCAGTTGAGCCTCTGATCATCACTAAAGCCAGAAAGGTGTGAGTGACTGCGGTTCGTACGCCTCCTCTTGGTTGGTTTGGCCTCAAAGTTTTAGCCAGTTACCCTAGGTGAACTACCAGTGGTCCACCAATCCGGTTATAGTCCCGGATGTCAGCTTTTCGTCCTTTCAATTTGATGGGGAAACACCTCTGCTACGGGAGGGCAGTGATTGGGGCTTTCTCAGCAGAAGCTGTTTGAGACGCCTGATCGTATAAGAGCATTTCTTGCGGTGTAAGGCAAGGGTGACCAGTCACAACCCAAGGCACTCACCCCCAACTATACTGACATTTGGAGGCTGATTGGGGGGTCTTCAATCATGTTCCTATTTCCATGATTATGGTGATTGACACAATAAAATCATAAACCAAAAAAGGAAGGGTTTAAACGCTGTATGCACGTAACGGAACTTAGGCTACTCTTTTTCGAAGTCAGCGTTCACGATAACAAGCTTTGAGCGCTCATCCGGTCAGATACTGAATTTTCTTTTTTAGGACTGCATATCCGAATGCTAGGAAAACATTTCGTTACCAACCGGCCCACGAAACTGAATGGTCAATAGTTGTAAAAGCTGAACTGATGTTTTTAATGACCGGGTTTCCTCTTCGATGCAAACAGATTATCAGCGATCCATTTTGTTTTGCGATCATGCTTGGAAGTTTGGAGTTTAACATTCTGCTAGGATAGTATAGGACAAACCTTGGATAATTGAACTAGATGGGTTTCCGCATCGTAGCCACCATATGGTTAACGGTTCACGCCATAACTCGAGGGATGAGGTTCAGTGGTCAGGGATATTTTGTCGTTATTCATACAAACTGAGGTTGCCCTCGATTTTGTAATTGGTGCAATAAATGTCTCTTATATATTATATATATATATATATATATTTCACACGTGTCTGAGGACAGACTGTGTGCCAAACAAATCGTGGTACAATAATCTTTATAAAAAAGAAAATGTTCCATGATTGGTTTGTGGGCTGAGTACTGCCGGGTTGCCCAGGCCAAGGCAGGTGAATTTTCTTGAGGAATCCACAACCGGAGTCTTCGGCTAGCCAAAGCCTGACCCGCAAGGCAGCGGGGCGGTGTGCGAAAACCGCAGTCCATTGGGGGCCGGTGTCCAGTTCATCGGATCATACGCCCTTCGGACGGGGTTAGACATCCAAGGTGCCCAATACACCTCAATGCCCAATCGAGCCGGTAACCACTGCCACAACCGAAAAGGTGTGGGTGTGGTTCGTACGTCTCCTCATGG